ATCCTCAAACGTCATTGCCAAGCGAATGACTTGCTTTGACATCTTTATTCTAGATCCATTTGCTAAACGAGTGATCATTTTCTTTGTCAATAACACCACGCTTAGTCATAACTTGCGCTCGAACTAAGTTTTCGATGCACCAGTGTCAGACTGCAGCGAGGCTGCCATAGCTCTTTCGCTTAGAGGAAGCTTGGTTAAGGTTGGTGACCTTTGTTCTTTACTTAGACCCAGAACAAGTGCAGCGAAAAAATCGCAAACCACTTACTCCAACAGTAACAACGGCCTTAGCCAAAGTATAATTAATTTTTCTGTCTAAAAATGTGAACTGTACTTCTCGATTTTATTTTCGGCGAAGCCGCCTTTATTTAAATCTTAGGTTTTCCAATTTCTATAGTAACATCTAATTAGATGTACAACTGTTGGCTGTTCCAATTACGTACTGACTTGTTGCGTTAGTGCAGCCACGCTATTGTGTGGTCACACCATCTTGTGTCATTAACATCATTGTGTGATCACTTCATCTTGAATGACCCACACGTTTCCTCCCAGAGCACGTAAGACCCCGTTACACTCTCCCTTATCAAAATTGTGAACACCTACAGTTCACTTTCAATTGCCGCCCCATTCGAGGCTCGCGTGTCATAACATCACTAGAACCTTCGTCACAAATTCTCTGCTTGACGAGCCCTATGTCGACCACACGAAAGATATCCAGCTTCGCTGGTTCCGAGAGCGCCTGCGGGCAGAGCCCTTCTTCGTCTGCTGCACGCGGTGCAACTCCGGACAGTACGTCCGAGTCGCAAGGGAAGCGCAGCCTACGCTCTCGGTAACCGAGTACCGCGCAGCGCATTGTCAGCGACAGGATCGCACGAACGAGGAAATAGACGCGATGTTGACTCCCCATCGTGCACCGCGCCCGCTACGGCCAATGGATTACCTCGTCGAGGATTTGAAGGACGTCGACTTTGAGTCGGATACTCTTTTCCAGGTGGGAAGAAGAGGGCGAGGTGCCCCAGCGGTGCGACGTGAGCGCTGCTCGAACTTTGCGGCTGCCATGACTGTTTGACTTCCGGGGGAAGTGGTATCAACAACAACAACCTCGACAAGGCACAGAAGTAGCAGCTGGATGTTGTCCGCAGAGCTGCTCTCATACCCACGCATCCACCTTCGGTCCTTAACCCTCGAGTGGAATACATGTTAGGCTCGGCGGATTCTGCTACAGAAGCGAAGGACGCGATCACTCGTTCGTTGGGTGTCCACGTGGTCGTTTCGCCAGACATCACACAAGCTGAGCTTGACGAACGAAAAATCTCCGAGCTCGCTTTTTAATTCCTCAAGTAATCCCGGTGGATACGTACCGCACTCGACTTCGTACTTAAATCGCAAGCGCTCCTGTAACCGCGATGCAGGGGATTCCTGTGGTACTCGCCACTGGTAAAACAGCTGCAGATGACGATGACCTGTTTGAGCGATGGGTGCAGCGACACCGCAAATTTTTCTCGTTGTCTAGATTACAGCGGATCCACAAGGAGGTGAAAGAACGTGTAGATTGCCATCTTCGATTTAAGTTTGCCAAACTCAAGGCGCATTGCCGACTTCGTGCGTATTGTCGCCCTGTGACACAATAATCTATGACGCCCCAGCGAGCCTTGTGATCTCTCACACGGGTGAGTCTACGACCACAGTAGCTCAGGGCCATAGCTTGACCTTAGCTCATGATTCTCCGTCTTGCCGGGCTACTGCCGAACGCGCGGGGCGCAAGACGACGCGGGGCATCATGATTCTTCTAATCATAAGCGTCCACGACGTCTTGGCAGTCTTGTCGAAGAGGCTCTTCAAACTCTCACGAGTTCTCGGTGCAGCGGGACTGCCGTAGCTCTATGCATAGAGAAAGCTAAGCTAAGATTAACGACCTCTCGTTCTTCCCATGAGCCAGTACTAGTCTAGCGGATCGCAATCCGCTACATCTTAGTACTACAAGCTTACCAAGGCAAACGAACACTTCTGTTCAAAAATGAACCTCTTGTTTTAGTTGCGGCAGAGCTGCCAATATATAAAATCCTAGGTTTTCTGATTAATATCGTGAAAC